GTTATCATTTCCCATTGTGGTCGATAGATAAGAGACATACCTTCAAGATATTTGCAGAAAATCTCTCAATCAGTGTCAGCTCCCCCTCCCTAATCCACGACATTATTTAAGATACAGGCTTCCTACAACAAGAAATAAAGACAGAATATACAGGTTATTACATATCAGGTTAACACCTCAGGCCTCTCAGAATTAACTGCATAGATCCCGAGACTCTGCAAACTCAAGTTCAATACTTTATTGCCATAACAACCAGTTGCATGGAATTTGTTGGATGAGCTCCTACAAGTAAACGACATCAATACAGATATATAACTATGAGCCAATAAAAAACAGCATCCCCCCCAATTTATCTACACATACCTTCCCAACACAAACCAGTAATTAGATAAGTAACAGTGAGACTAGATAAAATGAAAACATACCCCACAAAAATGTCAATGCAGCTACAGATGGCACATCTATTTCCTAATCCTAGTTATGACGGTTCAAAGTTCAAGACAGGTGGGTGACTCAATGCAAAGCTCAGTAAGGAGCTCTATTTTATTTTGAAGTCACCCATCACCTCCCTTTTTCCATACCTTTCAAAAACTGGAATTGCCGACTGCTGACTGGTTTGGCTCAACAAAACCGACCAGGACAAGAACTTGTGAATCCTCCCTTCTCTATATCTCATATCACATGTCTGATATTCCTAGACCAGAGACCTTAGCTCAGCACCACAACCATGACTTCCAGGCCCAACCTCTCCAGTCTTGCAGGCACCTTTTCAATAGTTTTTAGGAATGACACCCATCCATTACCTCAAAGCTGCTTATTTCTTGTAAGGCTCACAGCCACACAGGGCCTATCCTGGAAACAGAGGCAAGGCAGGGCTGGAGCCTGGATGGTTCAATGCAGGGCACAGATGCACGTCTGTGGAATCAGAGCACCAGGCGAATAACACGGAACATGCAAACTCCACACAGAAGGCACCTAAATTAGAATAGGACCCACCGTAAGACAGCAGTGTTACCCAGCATGCCTGCCAAAGGACACTGCGTTTCAGGATAAAACTCCATTCAGATTGTATGATAAATATGTATATTTATAGGCCGGCATGGTGGGCAGGTGCTGTCTGTGTGGAGTTTGCATGTGTTTCCTCTAGGTGCTCCAGTTTCCTTTCACAGCCCGACACCATACTGGTAGGTTAACTGGCTCTGGGGAAAATTGGCCCTGCTGTGAGTGTGTGTCTGTGTGTATGGTGCCTGGTGTCCCACCCAGGGTGTACCCTGCCTTGCACCCACTGATTACCAGGATAGGCTCCAGCTCCCCCATGACCCTGAATTGGAAGCATCTGTTAAAAAATGGAAGGATAGATGGACATTACAGATGATATCGTGTGGGATTGTAGGTGCAGTTAATTAACATGGCCATAGGAAGACACACGCCGGCTACTGGTCTCTACCATTACTGGGGAGCTAATTCAGAGCTCATGATATTGAGCGTTTTGCTGGCACAGACTGAAAAAAAAACAAAATAACAGACCTCATGTCAATTCAATGCTCCCACCACACAAAAATAAGAAGATGCACAGGTCTGATAGATATTGAATTATATTGAGGCACTGGCGTCTATGCAAATCAATCTTCAAACACGGGTACATGTAACTTCTCCATGTGGGTCCCTACAATATCGGATGGGTGTGTGTGTGTACCCCAGAATTACAACTCTGTTCTCTGGCCTATGTTTTTTTTTTAAATTTACATTTGTGCTTATCGAGAAAAGTGTTCTCAAAACCAGGAACAAGAAACTTCAAGGTAAATCCCCACATTAATCATTTAAAATAGCATTAAAGAAGGCAATATGGACAAGTCGCACAGACTAGAGTCTTATTTTCCCTCTATATACAGTATGCCTGCTTTCCCAGTTATAGACAGCACATGTAAGTGACTCTGCAGATCCCTTGTGTCATCAGTCCCATGGTTGCTGTAAGTCTGTATGGATACAAGCCCTGCTAAAAATAAAACACTGGACGTTCATTAAAAAATCAACTAAAAATGATTGCTATTACTGGTTAATTACTATAAATAATAACTAACAATAAACAGTTGATACCTAGTAAACTACTATTACTAGTCACCATTATTAAAAATAATTGCTTTTGCAATACATTTTCATTCTTATAAAATCAGAATTTTCTATTTGAAAACAACACGTTTCCCAGAATCTCAAAAACAGCACAGAGAGAAGATCAAAACTCTTAAACTTCAAGTCTGAGTTGCATACACCGTTTTATGCAGAGCTCCAAGACACACGTAGAACTGGAAGGGACTGGGTGTTGCTGTCACTGGCTCCGGCTGTCAAGAGACTATTAGTCTGTGTCACGCTTGGCTGTGTTATTCCCCACTCTCAGCCCCACGCACTTCGGCATCACCTACTCGTCCACGATTCCAAGACTTAAAAATACAGCCTCAATGTCCACCGCACACTTCTCAAGGACGTAAGAAACACTGTTCCTTGAATCTGTTCATTATGTCTCAGCTACTATACGGTACTGATACAGCAGCTCAATATGTAGCTTGTTTTACTGTTCTATGGAATCAGAATACTGTGATCCCATTAAAGCCGATCTCACAACCTATAACAACCTGATAATAATTATTGCCC